GCTTACGTCCGCCGTCTTGAACACTAGCGGAAGGTTGTGGTCGTAGCCTGGTGCCAGCTGCAGGCTGCGGGCAACCTCCCCATGCCGCCTTGTCCGGCATGGGCCGGAGGCGCGTGCGGAAGGGCCAAAATCGGAACAACTCTGCACAAGAGTGCAGTGCCCGCCCGGGCTCCCGTGCCGCACCGCCCCCATCGTGTCCCTGCCCCGCGTGTGGGGGCAGGGAGGGCCGGGGCCTGGGAATGAACATGAAAAAGACCCAGGAAGCCGTACCATTCAGCCTCGCCCTCACGAAGAAATGCACCAAGCAAAAAACAACTTAAATAAATATTGCCAGAAACCTGCCCAGCCTTCCAAGCTCCACCTCCAAAGCAAGCGGCGCTGGCACGACCAAAAGCACACCTACCCCGAGGACGCGTAACGAGGGATACACCCGTAGGCGATCCACGTGCCATTCTATGCAACTCCATGGGTGACACAAGTGTGTGTACAAGAAAGGCGGACAACAGCCGGGCTCCACAGCGGACGACAGTCGACACTACGAAGGCAGTAGGGCCTGCTCCCAAAAAGAACGGAAGTGAAGAACAGGCCTCAACGATGCTTGCAATAAAAACCTAAGTTAGTGATAGCGGCACCGGAGGGCATGCTTCAAAAGACACGGCTGTAAAACCCCTCTGGCCAGCAAGGATGCCATGCAGAGGAGAAGAGGAAGGACGACGACGACGGCGACAAGAGAGGAGGAAGACGCACCTTGCTGGCCAGACACGCCGGAAGTTAGCCCACTGAGGGCCAGGTGGCATGGGTGGACGGGAAAGAATATTTCAGCAAAATGCTAGGAATGCGAGGTCCCCTGTACCCAGAGCCTCGCGACCCTGAAAGCCCGTGGAGACCCCCACGAGCCCAGCCCGCACGGCGCAGGTGCCGTCACAGCCGTACGGCTGCGGTACCACCATGTGGCCGCGGGGCTGTGAGATCGTTAGCCGCTGTCAGTCGCACATGTTCCTGCTGTACGCGCTGATCGCGTTCCTCGTGGGACCTCGTAGAGGTGATCTCTCCAAGCGTCTTGAACACTACGTCCAGGGACTGCTTCCAGGGACTGGGCAGCCCGTCTGGCCTGGAACTCAAGGCTCGAGCGAACTCGGGAGGACCAGCGGTGACAATATTGATAACGATGACGCCTTGGGCTTCGAGGCCGTCAGGCTTGTAGCTCCTGGACGACGCGTGCGGAAGGAGGGGGAGGAGGGACAAACCAAAGTTGCCACCGTTAACGACTTGGTGTTACTATCCCTCGGTTTACGCGAAATGAAAGGGAGGGGCAACGCGTCCTCGCCGTGTGGTTAGGCTTCGATGCTTCGGCACTGAAGCGCTAGAGGTTGTCTTGGCCAAAAATATTTCCTGCTCCCAGCTGGGAGAACCGCATGAATTCGAGATGGCAGCGGCAATGGCCGCACGGACAGCCGCCAGCCCTGGGCTGAACTTTACCTCTCTTCTTGCTGGCCCGACGGATGTCCAAAGCGGTGTGGCTTTCTCCAGGGACCGTCCTGGCTCCGCCAGCCGGGCACGCACACCGCCTTTCACGAGGTGCCTTGGGAAGGCCGGCGTCCGCAGGATTCATCTTCCCCGGCTGGCTTCGGCAAGACTTGAGACAAGGCGTGATCTTCCTCAATTTCGCATTCTTCATGTGGGGCGCCATCCGGCGCTCCTCTCGGACATTGGTCGTTCGGCGTCTTTTGGTTGGAATATTCTGTCCGGACACGGCTTCTGGGGAGGCGTGTTCTTCTACTTCTACGTCCTCTTATCCTCACTCCTCGACGCCGTTTGCGTGCAGTCGGCGTTACTCAAGCGCCCCGAGAGCACCCCAAGAGGCGATTTTATGCACCCACGAAGGGCAACTCAAATCCCACCAGCCCTTTGGGCGTGAGTGGTTTAGGGAGCTCTCTCTGTTCTCAACCCCCCTTCTTTCCCTTCGGGGAGGGGTTTACCCCTCCCCCTACCCCCTCCCCCTGGGCCTGGAGAGGGGGTTTCGCGGGTCGTTGGAAGGGTCTTTTTCGACTCCTGGGAGGGCTAAAAAACGACACCCCTCACGAGGATTCTGGCCCCGACGGGGGGAGGCAGAAAAATGCTCCCCTCTTCTTTGAAGCCAAAATCATTGATTTTACTACTGTTTTGGCCCCATTTTGGCCTTCTGAGGGGGCAGCGCTAATTAAAGCTCCCCTCTTCTTTCAAGCCAAAATCATTGATTTTACTAAGGTTTTGGCCCCATTTTGGCCTTCTGAGGGGGCAGCGCTAATTAAAGCTCCCCTCTTCTTTGATCGATTTCCTCCAAGATGGCCCCAAGAAGCGCCCAGGAGGCACCAAGAGGCCCCAAGATGGCCCCAAGAGGCCCCCAGGAGGCCCCCAAGAGGATCCCAAACGGCCCAAAGAGGCCCCCCCGAGGCACCCAAGACGCCGAAAAGCCCATCAGGACGACCCTCTACTCGCCTGGGCGTCGTTTCTGGACGGGCAGGAGGAGGGGCCCGAACGACTCACACCAGGACGAGAGCCCGAACGACTCACACCAGGAAGAAGGAAGCCCGAACGACTCACACCAGGACGAGAAGCCCGAACGACTCAAACCACGAGGAGCGCTTTCTCTCCCTCCTCCTCCGCCTCGTCCTTCTCCCGCTCCCACCACAAAAGAGACCCCCAATACGCTTCAAGAGGATCCCCGAAGCACCCAAGACGCTGAAAGACGGCCTTGGGCTCGCCAAGACGCTCCCCAGACGGCCCAAGAGGCCCCCAAAAAGCTTCCAGGAAACATCCTACGAGACTCCGAGAGGCATTCGCGGCTTCTGACTCTTCTGTTCGCCCTTATCCTCCTCCTCCTCCTTCTCCTCCTCCTCCTCCTCCTCCTCGTCCTCGTCCTCGTCCTCCTCCTCCTCCTCCTCCTCCTCCTCCTCCTCCTCTTGTTCCTCCTCCGATTTCTCCTCCATCCTCCCCCTGTTGGGGTAAGAAATCTTTATTTCACTGCATTCTACTCCACATCACTGATCAGGGCAACTCGTCTGGGCATCGTTTCTGGATGGGCTGGTGGGGTTACTTTTTTTCAGCGGCCGCGGGCGAGCGCGCCGGCGGCGAGTCCAGTCAAAGCGGGGCACGCAGCGACGAATTAGCCTAAAGCGACGGAGGGTGGCCACACACACCTACAGCGGCTAACCGAGCCCTCGCGCAGCAGCTCAGCGGCGGACCGGCGAGTGGGGGGGCAGCTGAAACTGAGTCGGACTGCCAGCGTGCAAATATGCAAAGCGTCGGGGCACCAGGGAGTCGGGACACACGACGAGACGTCTAGAATTTGACCCCCCCACTTCAAGAAGGCCCCGACAACAAACAATTTCCCCCCACGGCTCCCGCTACAAAAGATGCCCTCAATCGACCCCACATAAACTCAACATGCGCCCTGAAGAGCCTGCCGGACGGCCCGACAGCTTGCCAAAAGGCTCCAAGGCAGACGGCCACTTCATAATGTGCGGCCACGAGCGCTACATACAGGTATGTCAGGCAGCGCAGGGTCTGAAAAATCACAAGACTGAAATAACGTGGACTGGAGTGGACTGAAGTAGACTGGACTGGAGTAGACTGGACTGGGGTGGACTCTACTCTACTCCACTCTACTCTACTCTAGTCTACTCTACCCGGCTCTACTCTACCATCTACCCTGCTCTACTCTACTCTATTCTACTCGACTCTACGCTACTATACTCTTCTCTCTACCCTGCTCTACCTTACTCTGCTCTGATATGCCCTGCTGTACTCTACCCCAACTCAGCTCTGCTCTACTCCTCTCCTTCTCTCTATCCTACTATAATATACTCTTCTCTCTTATACTCTGTTCTATTCTAGTCTACCCGACTCTACTCTACCATCTACCCTAGTATACCCAACCTACCCTACACTACCCTACTTTACTCCAACCCTACTCTACTACTCTACTTCCCTCTATTATGCTCATAAGTTATTGTACTCTCCGCTCCTCTGCTCTGCTGTACTTTACTCTTCTCTCCTCTACTCTCTCTACTTCTCTTCTATCCTCTACTTAGTTTTACTCTGCTCTGCTCTACTTCTGAGTTTGACGATTGTTGGGCAATTGTTGGGACGCTACTGGGATAACCACAGGGAGCGATTGGAATAGCAGAGGAAGCTATGCGGATGCAATTGAGGCCATGCGAATAGCAGAGGAAGCCATACGGATACAGAGGAGGCCATGCGGATGGTTTGATGATGCAAGGGCAAAATGAAAGGGGGAGCGAATTCTCGCCGCATGGAGTTAGGACTCCTATTGGAGAACGTAGCAAGCCATTCAGACTCCGTGCAGCCACACACTTCGTGTTTCCCTCTCGCGTCACTTCGGGTCGATTGGTGACCGTATCCTGGACAAAAGAGCCTGACTCGCAGTTGAAAGCTGCAGACAATGCGCACAATGGGTCAAATCTGTTTCCAATGTTTGCCACGTGACACTGGACACAAAACCAACAACGACTTCAACGCGGCAACCCGGAACGGCTCCGTCTAAACGTCGCAGTACACTTCTCCGTACGTCGGCACTGGAACCTGGCCCTGCTTATCATTGTGTCCAAATCACCGAGACGACGTCACGAAGCTGGAAATCAAACACATACGCTTTCGCTGGTCAAATATTTGCACGTATTTGGTGCCCAGAACGGTGAGCAATGTGAAAAACACCGAACCACTTCTCGGACGCATCGTGGGGAGGGAGGCTGTTGACGCCAAACCGAAACAAGGGGAAACCACCATGACGACAATGCGCACTGGTCATGTTGACTGCCATCCGTTGGTCGGTCAGGCATCGCTGCGCGTATGCATCTAAGACGGGGGCGGCAGAAATCACGGGCGACCAATTGTTTATAGTGTATATGGAACGTGCAACTACGCAATCTCCATCGCTACCGGTTCCATGTTTGTCTTCGCTCCGCAACGATACCTCCAGGCTTGAAGGCGGAACCGTCCTGGGAGAAGTCCAGCTCTGCGAACAGCCCTTCGCCCACCTCGTCCAGCACCCCTTTGACGATCTCGGTGCTCCTCCGAAGCGCCCTTCGCCCAGGGAGGAAGGGGCAGTGGGATTAGGATGATGACGAGGAGGAGCATGATGATGATGAGGAGGAGGAGGAGGGGGAGGAGGAGGAGGAGGAGGAGCAGGAGGAGGAGGAGGAGGAGGAAAAGGAGGAGGAATAAGACGAGGGAGCAAAGTGAGCAAGAGGACGAGACAAGAAACATGCCCTCTTCTTGATTTCCCTCCTGCCCTGCCCCGCCACAGCCCGCGCCCCTCCGCCTCCGCGACCCTCGCCTGCGCGTCTCCTGGTGCATCCCAGCTTCCCTGCCCTCGTCGTGTCCCGCCCTCCCCCAGCTCGCGTGCTGCCCTTCTGCCCTCCTCCTCCCCCTCCTCCTCTGACTCCCTATTCTCCGCTTGTCTATCATATCCTCTGCTTCTCTTGTCCACTCCTCCCTCCTGCGTCCTCGTTCCTCCAGCCAGGTACCGTCCTGCCTAGCCGCTCCCAGGTGTGCTCTACAGGGCGAGGTCTCTCTTGCCCGCCCCTGGTCCAGGCTGATCCGCTGCTCCCTGCCCTGCTTGGGCGCACAGACGCATGCGCCTGCAATGCGATAACCTGTAATCGAACGCCGCTTTCCTCCTCCCCCTCGTGCCCTTCTCCCGTGAAGCTCCTGCCCAGCACAGTGCTGCTTCCTGCCTTCTCCCTCTACAACTCTGGGGGATCCCGCCCTCTCTCCTGGCTCCAGCCTTTCCTCCTTGTCTTGTACCTCTCTCTCCTTCCTCTCCTGCGCCTGCTCCGCCTTAGACAGAGGACGCGAGCCGCTGGTGCGGCCCGGGAGGCGAGGCCGATGGACGAATCTGGCCGAACTCTGCAAGTTTCCTCAAAGAACGCCAGCCCAGCAGGCAGTCTCCGTCAGCGGCCACGTGTCGTGCAATCTTCCTCCATCCGAAAAAACACATTCGAAAACCACGCAAAGCGGTTCGTGGTTGCCCCTCCAGGCGTGTCCAGAAAGGGTGTGGCCTCCGCTGCCGCGTCAATCGGACCGCGACAATGAACGATCTCTGCGAACTCGTCCTCCCCTTCGGTGTCGGGTCTGACTGCCGAAGGATAGGATTTTCCAGCGGCTAGGGCGATGAATAGAACGCCAGCGCTGGATCACAAAACTGCTCCTCCTTCTCATCTATCGTCCCATGCTAAGTTTTGCCCGCGGCATCCAAGGGGTCGTGATCTAGGGCGCCATCGATGCGTACCGCTCCACATCCTCCCAACGCTCCCGCATCCCGTGCCGACCTCGTGATACCCACAACTCTGTTGATGCCGGCCAAGATGAGCCGCAGCACGTAAAAATCCAACCCCACCTTGCGGCGACATGTGTGGAACTCCAGAAAGCCTCAAGCCCGACCGCTTGACATCCCACTTCTCATTCCGCCGGACTTCCGTCGCTGGAACCGCCTCCGTCTTACTTCCGCCGGCCTTCCGCCGAGGGCGAGGATGCGCCGAGGGCGGTGCCTTCTCTGGAGCGCGCCACGCGTTTGGGAATTGGTGGGGGGTGGGGTACGACAGAGGTCGAAGTGGAGCAGGATCATCCAGTAGGAGGAGGAGGAGAAGGAGGAGGAGGAGTGCACTCAGCCGAGGGGGGGACTCCAGGTAGCTCGACGAGCGCGACGGTGACCACCCCTCTCAGGAGTCTATGGCAAGTTCGTGTCATGACCCCTTTCGCGTTGGTTTCTGGCCCGACTCGACTACTTCAACACTGAACGATCGCGCTTTCCGACTGCGCAGATTGGTCGACATCGGCCGATTCCGGGCCACTGGCAACCCTGAACGCCCTCGCTGGGATCGCCGTTGCGTTGGCGCGACACGTATCTACCGTATGTCCAGATGGCTAGTCTGAATGCAGCAGCACTGGGAAAGTGATGAGGGAAAAGGATACGAACACGAGAGGCCAGGAGGTGTAGAAGGAGGAGGGGGAGAAGAATGAAGAGGCGGAGGAGGAGGAACACCAGCTGAAGGGGGCTACCCAATTTCCGTGGATGCAGCAACGAGCAAATTAAACCTCGTCCATCAGTTCGTCGGGGTCACGCTTCCTCCTGTCAAACACCCGCTGCCCCAACTCTTCAGCCGCAGCACGGGAAGATAATCCGAATAGCGCGAGCCCGCGGACGAGGCCAACTCCTGCCACCCTCAAGGGCGAGGCGGGGTCCAGAGTGGGAACCTCGGCAAGCCCAAGGTTGGAGGTCAAGAAGGCTCCTGAACGATCCGGAAGGGCGGTGGTCAACCCCACGCGCCCGTCTCTGCGAGAGGGGTGCCCCCCTCCGCAAGATCCAAGCCAATTGCAGCTCGCGGCCATCACTGCGCACCCTTGGGCAATCCGACGCGAGAGCACTTCGTCCCCAGTATCTCCCAGAGTGGCCAACCGATCCAGAGGTGGTGCCAAAACACCAAGGACTCAAGCGGTGCTCCACTGGGGTCCAAGAGGGGAGCCTCGAGGCACGCGTGGTACCGGGCCGAGGAGGTGAAGGAAAGGGAGGATGAATGAGGAGGATGACGGAGGGAGTGGGGCGCGTGCCACATGCTCGATGCGTGTTCGTTTTTCTCACACGAACGGACCGAAAGCCACCACATTATGTATCTGCATGCGGCGACGTCGGCGCCTGACCGAGGCCATGATCGAGAAATGGAGCTCGGCTCAGGAATGTCTGGCTCCATCCCTCGCGCTTTTCGTCCACATCCAGGGCTCACGCCGACGTGATTCTCAATCGTTTGTAGATTCCCGACTCGCGGTTGGAAAGGCCAGAGCGATTATTCAGGACACCGCCACCTCCCCTGAATTGCCCGATCTTTCTCTCGACCGCGCGCCCATTTTCTCGCCTCATGGATGACAGTAGGCTCGGTACGGCAACACCTTCCATAAACTACATCGTCCATTGTATTATCCTTCCATGCGTGATGGATGCTCCGCTGCCTCAGTTCGGTTTTTTGCTTGGATGCGCATGTAATCATTGCACAGCGTTTCTCCACGGGCCGGCGCATACATAATTTACTGCTTGGTGCTGACACCCTCCCTCCCTCCCTCCATGAACATCCCTCCACCATAACCTCTCCTTTCTCTCATTCTATCTCATCTTATCTCCTCCTCCTCGCTCCTCATCCTCCTCTCGCTTCCCACCGCCCCCTCCTCCTCCTCCTCCTCCTCCTCCTCCTCCTCCTCCTCCTCCTCCTCCTCCTCCTCCCTGCGGAGCCGAGCTGGCCTCCTCGCAGCAGCAGCTGGGGCTGGCAAGCCGCCAGGGTGTCAGGAGGGGGGGGCGGATGAAGAGCAGGGCGAGGAGGGGGCCACGGACGAGGACGGGGGCATGTACGTTGCTGCTTCTTGCCTTGCCTGGGCCTCTGGGGCCGCGCCCTCGCCGTCGCAGCTGGCCCCGCCGCGAGATCCTGGCTCGAACGCGCCCCGGGAGAGGCCTGGGGGCCGCTTGTGTTGGGTCGGGCATGTCCTCACACAGGCGGATTCTGGAGAACGAGTGAAACTATATACGCAGAAATCACCCAAACATAGTCGATCGATAACAGAAGAATTCGTCACCAGACGAGTTCTGGACTATTTTTGTATATCTATCTCCTGTATGGGGGACGAATGAAACTACGCAAACATCACTCAGACATAATCGATCGATGACAGAAGAATTCGACCCCGGACGATTTCTCGACTATTTTTGTACATTTCTCCTGTGGAGGGACAAGCCCGCCTCTAATGGTAGCGGTCACTACAGAAGGGAACACAAGTCCCTGGCAGCGCAGCACGCACCGCGCTCGCGCCGACGACGCCGACGGAGACGCAGGCCAGAGGAGGGAGGGGAGGGAGGAGGGAGGGAGGGAAGAGGAGGGGAGGAGGGAGGGAGGAGGGGAAGGAGGGAGGAGGGGGGGAGGAGGAGGGAGGGGAGGAGGGAGGGAGGAGGAGGGGAGGGAGGGAGGAGGGGAGGAGGGAGGGAGGGAGGGAAGATGAGGGGAGGAGAAGGAGGGGACGACGGAGGGGAGTCGCGCCGGAAGGTGGCGCGGCAAGGGGGAGAAGAGGGGGCGGATGGAAGAAGTTCACCCTCCTCCTCCTTTCCAGCCGTCCCCTCGTCGACGTCGTCGTCGTCTTCGTCGTCCTCCTTCTTCCTGTCACCTCGTCCCCCTTCTCCTCTTCTCCCTCGCTCTGGGCGCGGTGGCGTTGGCAGATTTATGTTGTTCTGTTCTGGTGACGAGGAGAGCGCTGGAGTGGTGGATGAGAAACCCTTGTGTTTTGTGGGAGGGAATGCACTGGAGTCTCTACGAATTCATGTCCTGGATGGTGGCGCACATGTCAATCTCGCGCATAGGATTGTGACGTGGTGGGTTGAACACATTACATCGCTGGATGTATGGGCGCCGTCTTCTTGGCCGTCGTGGGCAAAGAGGACAGGCTACATGCGTGGCCATCCCATGCGCTTGACGAAGGAACGTACGCTCGGTGTTCATTGCACCCTACAAAACATTTCACTCTGGTCACTTGCGCAAAAAGGGTGTGTGTGTGTGCACCGTAGGTGAAACAATATATGCGGTGGGCAATGCGTATTTTGGGGAGGCCTGAGTGGTCCGTAGGAGGGTGATGAAAGTCATCAGCGCTCCTCTATCCCTGCAGCCGCTTTTACCAGGCGGCGCTGTGGCAAGGGATGGCCGCGCAGCCCTTTGGAGCGACGCGACTGCCCTCGGTGGGCTGGGGACGCGCTCAGCGCTGGCGAGCTTGCAGAGGGCCCGTGCCGCGTCCGCCTGGTCGGCGGCTGCAGCCACTGGCTGGGTCGAGCCGCCTTGCTGTCAGACCCGCAACACCGCCACGGTGCCCCTCCTCAGCCGCGCCTGGCCGACGACGGCGGGTCCGCCGGGCGGGTGGCCTTCTTTTTCTGAACTCATGGGGTGTCGGAAGAGGGGGGGGGAAGAGAAGAGGGGGAAAAAGGCCATCGCCTCTTTAAGCAGGCGCCGATTCACGGCGCGCGCGCGACAGTTGGCTCGAGGGTGCGCGTGAGGCGGCGGGGAGGAGCAGCGGGGGCGGGGGCGGGGGTGAGCGTCGAGGAGCCTCTGCGCCCTGGCCACGGCCTGGCAGCCGCCGAAGAGATGCTTCAGGGCGCCAACTGGGACGGGGTGCGCCAAGGCTCGTGCCCAGCAGGCCCTCGTCCACCGCGCTTTGCGAAGGAGTCTCTGGAGAGGAGAAGGGAGGACCGCAGGAGTGGGGGGGGGACGCGGGGGAAGGTGGCCAGCGATTAGAAACGGCGCCCGCCCGCAGGCGTCCGAGCTGGAGAACCTTGGGAACTCTGCACCGAGGGCGTCGGGCAGACAGCCGGCCGCCACCTCGGAGCTGCGCCTCTCCGGCGCCGTGCCACGGCGGCCAAAGAGGCTCCGACGCCCGCGCGGGAGGACCTCTGTCTCACCAACGCTCTGCGCTCCCTCGCTGCCTGCACCGAGTGCGAATGAAAGGGGGCGCCACGAAGCTGCGGAGGCAGCCCGGCTCACGCGGGGGCCGCCCGCGACAGGCCTGCCTCGAGGGGGGGGCACTGCAGTGGACGGGGCCATGCGCGCGGCCCCTGCCAACTGGAGTTCCGCCCTTGTCTCCTGCTCCAATGCTTCTCCCCCTTCCTACCTCTTCTTTCGCGGTTGTTCATTTCGTCGAGTACCGTGCGTTTCCCTTCTCGTGCAAGACCGCCGTGGACTTCGTGTCGAGCGCACGGAACATGTTCCCGCGCACCACGGAAATCGTCCGCATAAAGTTGTTTGGTTCATGTCTGGCTTGTCTGGGTACTTGCTTCGGTGCCACGTCGGGTGATGGCACCACGGCGCTGTGGAAGCATGATCTCGGGCAACTCGGAAGCGTCCGTGGTTGATTTGCCAGGTTGCTGGCACCACCGTGCCTGGGGCCCTCTCCCTCCTCCTCCTCCGCCTCCTCCTCCTACTCCCTCCTGCTCTTCCCCGCCCTTCTCCTACTTCGCCTCCCCCTCCTAGAGGAAAGAAGGGGGGGGATCGAGCGCGACCGTGACCACTTTCATCAATGCTGTTGTCCTAACGCTGCGTCTAATTGGAGTGTCGTCGTCACCCAAAAAGTCGGATTCACAAGCGGCATGCTGACCTGCAGCACCTGCCCTGCAGCTGGCGGGGCCAAGGGTAACACCATGGCCGAGTTGGCTTTGGGATGGTCAACGCCGCCAGCCCGGGCAGAAAAAGTTGTGGAGCGGGGCTCATCCGCCGCCGTGCCTTTGGCACGCTGTGGCATGTGAGAACGACTGTTCGCTGCCTGGCGAAGCTTCTGCCAGTTCCTCCCGTACTCGCGCGTTTCCCCCCCCTCCCTCCGAAAAAATCACCATTCCAAGTTTTGGTTCGCAGCGCCCTTCTCAGTCTCTGGGCGGCTCCAAGACGGCTGCAAGCCGTCCCAAAGACGGCCAAAGGACCCCCCCTCAAAGACTCCAGTAGGCCCAGAGGAGGCCCACAGATGCCTCAAGACGCCCCCAAGATGCACACCGATAGCCCTCGGCGAAGCGCTGGGAGGCGAATAACAACGGACGACGCTGCACTCTTTCCTCAAACAAACTTTGCGCAAGATGGCTGGTCGCCTCTGGCCAGCCCGTTGTCCAGGGGAATCCTCGGGGGTTCCTTGCCTTCCTTTGCTTGTGAGCTGTACTGCTAAGCGTTGCTCCGTTCTGTTTGGATTTGCACTGTTTCCTTTGCTGTTCTGTGCGTTGCTTCGCGTAGCTCTGCGTCGCTTTTTTTCCAGTTACTTATTGCTTTGCAATGCTTTGCTTTGGCTCGAGCTGCATTGCCATCCGTTGTATTCCATGAAGGTGCATCGACGTTTTTCGAAACCCTTTGCGTTGCTCAACTTGCCTTGCATTGCTTTGTGGCATCGCTTTACCTTGCAATGTCTTACATGCTCCGTATTGTGTTGCGCCGTGTTGCGTCAAGTTGCGGTGCGCTGCGTGTTCATGCTTTTGATTGCGCTGCAGTGGAAAAGTGAAGCACCATACATGTCAGATCTAGTATGGTTTATGGTTTGCCGAACTTTTCTGCTTACTGTAGGCTTCACAACCTCAAGACGGCCCCAGAAGGCTCCAGCACGCCCCAAGTCGGCCCTCAAAGACACAAACTTGTCCCCAAAGACCTCAATTATAGCTTCGATGCCCTATCAGACGGCGCCAAGATGGCTTCATCGAGCCGCTTTGGGAGAGCTCGGTATCACCATCGTGACCAAGACACCCCAGAGGTCCCCAACATGTCGCCCAAAGCATACGAACCCACTAAGGAGGAGAGAGGAAGAGGATGAAAACAAAGAAACTCAGGACAAATGAGGGAAGACGCAAATTCAGAAAGGGCACCGAGATATAACGGTTCTTAAACTCCTCCTCTTCCTTCTTCCTTCCGTGCTGGCACGGTGGCGGGATCTGCCGCAAGCAGCTGGATACGACGGGACACGATGAAGCAAGGCAGGAGCCCCTAGCGCCGCTGCAGGAAGGCGATGCTGGGTCTCTCATCCTAAGGGGGCAGCGAAACGGCGAGGCCGCATCTTCCAAGGCGGTTCCCGGCTGGGAAAGAAACGCCCCCCCTCCAACAGGAAGTCGTTCCCACCTCACCTGGGGGTGGGGAGGTCGTCCGCAGGGGTGGTTGAGCGTCCCTGCCTGCCTGCTAGTGCGATGCTCCTCTTGCTTTTGGTTTGAGTTTTGTGTCTCTTCTTGGCCCTGGAGAGAAACAGCATTCATCAACGTCTCCATCCCCACGCTTCTTGAAAATGCTCGTCCTTCTGATCCCTCCCCTTCTAGTGGGATCCATCGTGGCAGGGGAGGAGGACGAATTCTCGCCTTCCTGGGCCCAGCGATCCTCCGTCATGATGTCGTTGAGCCGCGCGATCACGTTCTGCGCCTTCGACTTCTTGGTCGTGAACTGGTCCTGCAGGGCCTTGTCAGTGATGGGACACGCCGTTTCGTACAGGCTCGTCTGCTCCGACTCTAAGACCAGCAGCGTGTTGAGGCAATCGTTCACGGCCTGCGACTTCTTGGCGAACGCCTTCGACCGCTCCAGCTCCCCCTGCAGTTCCCTGATCTGGTCGTCGTACGCGGCGAGACTGTCCCCACCCACTGGCCGTCCAGCGTGTGATCGCAGGTCGTCGCACTCTCTCTGCATGCTCTCTACCCGCTGCCGCAGCTTCGTCGAGGTGGCAGAGGCGACCGAGTGCTCGTGCCGCAGCGTTTTGAGCTCCTCGGTGGCTTCCCTATACTTGTCCTGGTAATACGAGTCCGTGGACTTGAGCTTGTCCAGCTGCCTCTGGATGTCGTCCCGGTCGCTCTTGACCAACTTGAGATCCTGGACCTTTGCTTCCAGCTGCCCCTTCAACAGCTTGATCTGCCCGGCCGCCTCGCTGTTCTGGTCCGACCTTTCGCTGACGGCCTGAGTCATCTGCGTCATGACTTTGGTCATCTCCTGATTCAGCTGCTTGGACTGGTTGTACTCTCGCTCGAAGTATTCCGCCCGCTTCTTGAACTTCGCGACCTGCTCCTGGAGCTGCGCGCTGTTACCTTCGCCATGCGACTTCATGAGCTCCTCGACCACCTGCTTTATCTTCAGCCGCTCGCTGTTCGCGTCATTCAGTTCCACCTTGATGCGCTGGTTCTCCGAGTCCAGCCACCTGGCGTTCGATTCGCTCTCGATGCGCTGGCGCTCCGCGTTCATCAAATCCTGCCTGGCCTGATCTGCCAACTGCTGCTGCTCCTCCACCTGGGCGGCTCTGGAATCCCCGGGGGGCACCGTAAGCGACATCCCTCGACCAGGACTCCAGAAGCAGAGACGGCTGGACTCACACGCGGACCATGCAGAGGCCACTTGCTGGATGCATACGCGGAGTGCTGGCGCACCCGTCCAAATAGAGCTGAGCGCTGGAAAGATGTGCGGCCTCGTGCGTATACAGCTCTTGCCCAGTTGGCCGCGTCAAATGCAAATATCCCCTGTCCTCCGACGTTGTACTTTCTCGTGGCGCGGGTGCCCCCAGGGATCTCGACCACTTCCCGGGGCCTGGCTTCTTACGCAGGCAGCTGCTCTTTGCCGGGTACGGGGCTGGAGAACGGTCTCGGGAGGCCGAGAAAGAGGGAGAAGCGGCCTACACGTCTTCCCGGATCGAAGGGCTCACCCTCCTGCTGGAAATCTGCTGTCACCTCCGGCGAGGCCTCTGCCAGGCCTCAGCCGGCGAGGCCGCCCCCCTGGCCAAGGACGCCCACGGCGACGGCGACATCGAATGCCGACCGAACCGACTTTCAAGCTAGCGGCGCAGAGGGCCATCAAGCGCGAGCAGCAGATGGAAGTGCTACTTGCGATCGAGCACTGTCGAAGGCACAATGCAGAGCCGACCGAACCGACAGCGAAACCGAAGCCGACAGGCCGCAAGCAGCCTCGATGGGGAGCAGCGAGGTGGCAGCGACACAGCAGCCGACCGAAGCGAACGCACCGAGCGCCACCGCCTGCGACGCGGTCGAACCGACCGAACCGCGAGCACCCTCGCTGGCACCCCCACTGGCTCTGGCGGGCCCTCCGCCGGCCTCCGCCGACGGGGAGGGGCGAGCCCCCCGCCCCCTCGACGGCGAGGCCTGGCTCCCTCCTCCTCCTCCTCCTCCTCCTCCTCCTCCTCCTCCTCCTCCCCAGCCTCTCCTCCTCGCCCTCCCTTCTCCTCCTCCTCCTCCTCTCCTCCTCCTCCACCTCGCCCCTCCTCCTCTCCTCCTCCTCCTCCTCCTCTCCACCTCTCCTCCTCCTCCTCCTCCTCCTCCTCCTCCTCCTCTACCTCGCCCCTCCTTCTCCTCCTCCTCGCTCCTCCTCCTCCTCCTCCTCCACCTCCTCGTCCTCCTCCACCTCCTCCTCCTCCTCCACCTCCTCCTCGTCGTCGTCGTTCTCCTCCTCCTAGCCATCTTCCTTCTCGACTTCTCCTCCGAGCTGCCAGGCGGTGCGATAGCAGATCAGGCCTCCGATAGTTCGCGTGGGCGAGCATTTTTTCTTGTGCCGCCCCTGGGCTTGTGGCCTCGTGCTAGTTTTGGCAGGGCATCGGAAGCACCGCACTGGCAGGACAACTGCGGTGGGGCACGCACGCTTGACATGGATCAGGGATCCGTGCATCTGGCGCGTTGGCGTCAGATCCACGGCTCGGGGAACGGGCGCCTCGAACAATGAACCCGATGTCGCCCGATCCTGCGACGGAGCGCGTCGATCTGACACAGAAGCGGGACCAGTCGCTACTATCTGTGATGCTGAATAAGTGTTTTCGATTCCTCGATGCTGAGCTTTGCCATTCCTTCCACAGTCTGTGGTGTTTCCTCAAGGACGTCAACTCAGAAAGCCTGACATGTATAAATGTATGTATACATATATATATATACACATCTATACACATATAGAGAGACAAAGAGAGACATAGAGAGAGAGAGAGAGAGAGAGAGAGAGAGAGAAAGAAAAAGAAAGAGAGAGAGAGAGAGAGAGATAGAGAGAGAGAGAGAGAAAGAGAGAGAGAGAGAGAGCCACGAACCCCGACCTCAGAGCACACGTGGGGACACGTGAGACGGGAAGGAAAGTAGAGTCGGGGGCAAGAGCGGGAAGAAACGACGCGAAGCGACCGCCGAAGTCGTGCGCGCTCCACAAGGGAGCCCGCCCATGCCCTTCAGGCCATAGCGTTGGGGCTGTGGCCTCAGAAATGTGAAACGTAGGCAAGCTCAGGAGAGAACCACCAGTCAATTTTTGCAGCGGCTGGTGACCATCGCAAATTGTTTGTACTGTAGCGCTCGTGCTGTCGTGGTTTGGTCGCTGCCCGGAAGAGCGGGAAGGGCGAGGCAGCAGCAGGGAAGAGGAGGAGAGAACGCAGGAGGAGAAAAGAGTAGGAGGAGGAAGAGGACCAGTGCAAACCCAAGAGTCATCAACGACGTTGGAATGAACCCTCACTCCAAACTCCCTCTTCATAGGCCCCTATAACGGTTCATTTCTATTGAGGGAACTGCCTCGTTGGAAAACAAACGTTTGAAGATCCTGAAGCATGCCAAAACATTGTTCTCGGGATTTCAATGCCCCATCTCAACACGACTGCTGCAATTTGACGATCGGGAATCATGCCATAACTCCGTTTTTGTGATTTCAACACCGCGAATCAACATAACTGTTGCACCCGCAAAATCCTGCATGAATGTGCGCGGCGCTGAAGCGAGAGCCACATTTTGCCCCCCCCCCTCAATCCGTGAAACTCTTGCACTTTCTTAAACCGAATGTGCGCGGCGCTAAAGCGAGAACCACATTTTGAAAACCACCCACCCGCAATCCGTGAAACTCTGGCTAATTTTTAAAACGAATGTGCGCGGCGCTAAGGCGAGAACCACATTTTGAAAACCACCCGCCCTCAATCCGTGAAGCTCTTGCAAATCTTGAGAACTAATGTGCGCGGCGCTAAGGCGAGAACCACATTTTGAAAACCACCCGCCCTTAATCCGTGCAACTCTTGCAAATTTTGAAAACGAATGTGCGAGGCGATAAGGTGAGAGCAACATTTTGAAAACCATCCGCCCTCCATCAGTGAAACTATTGTCACTGTTTAAGCTTCAGAGTCATACATGGTGAAGGAGTCTCAGGCAAAACGCCCGGCCCGCCCTCAAAACTGGCCTCGGGGTTCGACAGGGAGAGGTTATCTATGAGGAGAAGGAATGGAGGAGGAGGACGGAGAGAAGGACGATGAAGAGAACGAGAACGATCATGAGGACAAGGACGATGTGAATCATGACGAGGACGAGGACGAGGAGGAGGAGGAGGAGGAGGAGGAAAAGAGAACTGTGCACATGTGCCAATCCTGGGCACCCATCCTGGCCAGGCCCATCCTGGGCCTGGCCAGAATCGGTACACGTGCACACTCCTGCCAGGATCGGTGCATGTGCACGTCTCTCATCGTCCGATCATGCCGGATCGTTTTCTGACGGCCCTGGGCCCCAAGGTCTGCCTCCCAAAACAGAAAATTGCGAAACGCCCGCCGCCGAACGCAGCAAGACCGGTCAACATCGACTCGGGAGGCCAAGTCGGAATGAAGCGTGCTGCGGGTCGGGTCGCATCGGCACGGATTCAGAATCGGACCGGATCGGCCACGCCAGGATGCACAACAGAGCTCGTGCAAGCATCGGTCCACAGCTGGCAGCATCGAAACGTCAGAACCGAGTCGCTCCAGACTTGCCGAAGAGAAGAAATAGAGGCGGCTGCGGTATGCTGCGACATGCAAGGTCCGTCTCGATCCGAACTTGACATCGACTTCGGCCAACCTGATCCGACTCGTTTCTGACGATCTGGCGGACTTCCGACAACTTATCGGGCGCCAGAGAGGGGGTCCAGCGCCCATTCAAGAAATCCGCGCGGACCTCCGACAGGTTGCTGTGTGTTGCTCGCAAGCTGAAAGGCGGGTG